TGTGGGGGGGGGGGGGGAGGTCCCTGGGATTTTGGGGAGGGGTCCCTGGGATTTGGGGAGGGTCCCAAAAGGGGTTTGGGGGAGGGTTGGGCTGAGCTTGAGGGGGATTCCTGGGTTTGAGGGTCCCCAAGTTTGGGACGGCCCAAATTTTGGGGATTCCTGTGGGAATTTCGGGGTGGAATCCCAGGATTTGGGGGGGGAGGGAATTCCTGCATTTTGAGGGGTTCCCGTGGGAATTTTTGGGAGGTCCACAAATTTCGGAGGAATCCCTGGATTTTGGAGGGTTCTCGTGGGGATTTTAGGTTGGAATTCCTGGATTTTAGTGTGGATCCCCAGATTGTGGGGAGGACCCCCAGTTTTTGGGGCAGATCTTGGATTTTTGTGTGGAATCCCTGGATTTAGGGGTGGATCCCTGGATTTTGGAGGGTTCCCATGGGAATTCTAGGGTGGAATCCCTGGATTTTGGGGCTGATCCCCAGATTTTGGGGTGGAATTCCTGGATTTTGGGGCTGATCCCCAGATTTTGGGGTGGAATTCCTGGATTTTGGGGCTGATCCCCAGATTTTGGGGTGGAATCCCTGGGTTTTGAGGCAGGTCCCCAGATTTTGGGGTGGAATCCTTGGATTTTGGGCTGATCCCCAGATTTTGGGGTGGAATCCTTGGATTTTGGGGTGGAATCCCCAGATTTTGGGGCCGATCCCCGGATTTTGGGGTCCCAATTTTGTCGCCCCGCCCCCAGGTGACGACACCTACCTCGACATCTTCCGCGACATCTCCCTGATGGCCTCGGACCACCCCGAGAAGCTCGCCCGGGCCCCTCCCCCCAAGCACTCCACCCTTTAGCCCCGCCCCCTCGGCAAAGCCACGCCCCCTCCTGGGGCAGCAGCCAATGGAATAAAGGCTCGGCTTGACCTCGGCGCGACCCGAAATTCCCTGGAGTGATCGGGAACCCAAAACCGGAGACCTGGAACTGACCCCTCCCCCAAACCTGTCCCTGATTGGGTGACCTGGAACCGACCCTGCCCCCAAACCTGTCCCTGATTGGGTGACCTGGAACCGACCCTGCCCCCAAACCTG